AGTAGTTTCCTTGGAAGCGATTTAAAAACAGAAATGAACTACATAAACTTAAGGTATTAATATATTAAACTTAATTTCCTGATGTTTTTAAATTAAGAGTTAATGTTTGGGAAGGATGTCTTTTTCATTCTGAAAATGGATGGAAAAATAACCATGTTTCTCCATTAAATGATTGCAAATATTACCATTTAAAATTTACTACTATATTGGAGAAGAATTCCTGGTCACAATAAATTGTAAAGTTTGGGGTGTTTATTTCACTCTCCAGAATGTGGAGTCCTTAATTGCTGAAGCATATTCACTGGTGCATGCAAAGTACCACAGCTATGCACTACTTATTGTAATAATTACATATTAAAGAAGTAATGGCCTACATTCAGGAGGACTCACTTTGTGCATATGCTACTTAAGGGAAAAAAGCAAACAAACTGAATTACTAGTTACAAGTGAATTAGTAGATAGACAAAAATTATCCCAAGAAGACATAATCAATAATATATACTGGAAAACAGCCCCTCTTTGTTGACTGCAGACCCACATTTTTTAATTTAAAATGTTACTTATTTTTTTCTGAGCAGGCTTGAGCTGTAACATGCATAGTGGAAGATAAACAAGGCTGTGGTTTTTAATTACAGACTTGAATTCACTGGGCTATGTATAGAACCAGGAATAAGGTACTATTGTTTCCTGGGAGTGGGGCTATGTAAATTAGATTGAGTAGTAGGACACAAAGCTATGAATAAGAGGAAATTTTCTCTGGGGAAATGTAGGTGACAAGCCTACATTTGGTTTGGCATGGTTTATTTGAAGAGCTAATGTCTTTTTATGTCATGGATCAGGAAGAAATGGATGCTCTCCATAATGCAGGCCAAGCATAATTTTCATAATGACCTAGTCTTCTGACATAGTAGACACTATAGTTTCCTTCAATTTCCTACTCTCATGTTCAGCCCTTGTAGTCAGGGATGAAGAGGGAGGGGTCTGCATTTCTCCGTAGTCAGCTGAAGCTACAGCAGCTGTGAAAGCAAGAGTTCAGGGATAATTAACATGCAAAATTCATAGAATCATGACCAGTTGAATGTGAGAGATAAAAATTACGGAATTAAGGACAGTCTCAAGTGTCTGGCTTGAATTACTTAATTAATGATGATTTAGGGATGAAAATAAGAAATACAAAAGATATGGTCTAGGGGAGCAAAATTATAAATTGTTATGGATATGTTGAAATTAAGATACTGGGGCAAATCTATGTATGATTTCAGAAACAAAATCTGGGGCAGAAAAATAGATTTTTGGAGTCATCAACATATAGAGTTATAGACTGTTGTGGAAACTGGGGGATGGATTGAGTCCCAGGATTTGAAAGGAATGGAAGAGAGAGAAAGAAAAAAAATAATAATAAAGGTAGTTAAAATATTCAAGGATTTGGGCATCAAAAGAAATGCATCCAAAAGGAATTATTCAGATATGTAAGTTAGTAAGAATTTCAACAAGAAGATAGTGGTCAACATCAGTAGGATTAAATGCTGAAGACTAGTCAAAGTAGGAATAAATAGGGGTTCATAAATTTGGCACTTACACAGACACTAGTGCCTTTAATAGATAAGTTTTGATAGAAGTCTGTGATAGAAACCTGAAGGTAACATGACAAGAAAAAATGGATGATAGAATTGATTATTTGTAATTGAACCTAAATTTACTTAATAGGCATTTATTCTTTATTTAGCATATCACTGAATTACATATTTCTTTGAACTTTCCTCCCTCTCTCTCCCCCATTAAACACTTGAGTATATAGGGAGGAATTTTATTTATCCTAAAATGTTTAAAGTGACATTTACGCAGTGAAAATAAGCTTTACTCTTCTGGGTCAACTGTGAAATAGAATAAAAAAGCCTGGGGTTAAATTAGAAGCAAAGCATTTTATGTTGAACACAGTTTTTACAGGAAAAAAGACTTACATGAAATTTAAAACTATGAGTGGCTCATTTAGTTGTATATGGCATATATTTTTTTCTTTTACAGATATTGTTTCCAATTTCCAAATAACTTGAGTGGTTTCTTCAGTTTGACAAATGGTTATAAAAACAAGTTTGCAACATATAAGAAAATGTAGCTATCATCTCCTGTATAAAATCTGATCATTTGCTTATACAAATTACAGAAACTAATCATCAGGATTGCAATTACAGTCACAAAGACCAGGCATGTTTGCATGAGAGGGCCTGGAGTTCACTTAACATTCAAGGTTCCATATTCTCAAATGCAAAGACGAAATGGGTGATTACACCCAGTACATGAGATGACTTTATTGATTAACTTTGTAAAAACCTCTATTGAAACGAAGGCCTTTCTTTGTTTATTTATGTTTATGTGAGATGAACTCAAGGCAAACTTTTGTGACCCCAGCCATTTTCCTTGTCATAGTGCTTTAAGAATAGAGTCGCCTTCGTGATGTTATTAAAATCAGCATAAAAGGTTAATTCTTCTCCCTGAAGCAGAAAAAATATGCATCACCATGATTCTTAGGTCTTTCTCTAAGAGCTTTTAGTATAGTGGAAGGACAAAAGATGTAAGTCATTCCTCAGGTCATATCACAAATTTACCTTCCCTAGCTCCCTCTCCCCCCACCGACCTTATGATATAATAACCACTTTATTGGGAAGTAGTAAAGAGTCAAATATAAATATTTTCTTAACATTAGATAACACATTTTGTCTCACAGACTATCTGTTTAACAGTAGGAACATGTCATGATACCATTGCCTAAAAATAACCATTTCCTCACTGGTTACTCTTTCATGACACAACTTTTTATTTTTCCTTTTATCTCTCTATTCATTCAATTTACATGTACAAGAAAGAAAATTAGGGAAGTCTTCAGCTAGTGATCAAAGAAATATCTTCATCATAAAAATCAACAGAAGCCACTATTGTAACACTACCATAGTGGCCTTAGAAACTTTAGGGTAATTAATTGGCTTCACTGAACTTGGCCAACTTGCCATTCTTGGGGAAGATAACGTTTCCAGAGGTTAGTGTTTGTGAATCTGCTTTCTTTGGAACTGTTATATTTAGTGACTTTAGGTCTACGGAATTTGAACTTGAGAAGCCCTTCCTGTGACAAATTTAAGAATAGGGCAGTGTTGCAACCAACATAATCAAACGGAAAGTTCTTGCTTTTCTGACAGTTCTGCCTAAGTGCTTCTAGAGCAGACACATGGCTCTCCTTAGTCAGGCATTTCCAACTTTACTGAAGAACCTGTTAAATAATTATCAGAAGATCACTTGCATATCCTATTATATAACTACTGAAAACATGAGGAAAATTGCTGACTTTAAGTCATCTGTTGACAGGCCTTCTCTGGATTTGAAGAAAAGATAAATGTCAGCCACAAAACTGTCTTATTTTAAACAAATTGTATCCTATCTAGAGTTTAGCTGAATAGAAAAAGAGCATTATTTAGAGACAGTTAATATACTAGGTTTGACTTATTTTCATTATAGTGTTTTAAAAAAAATCTCTAGTTCTATTATTTTATGATTTCCTAACTTAGTTTTTTTAAAAAATTTATTTGTTCACACAATATATCTATCTTACCTATCCTATAGAACTTTTGTTCAAGTAAGATTGGCTATATTAAACTACTATTGTCATCATTGTTGCTATTATCATAATTAGGTCACTTTTAGAGTTGTTTAAACTTTGTTGCTCAAGGTGTCTGTTATCTGCTAACAACACGAGCATCACCTGGGAGCCTGTTAGGCAGAATGTCAGGTCCTACCCTAGACCCACCAAATCAGAATCTGCATTTCACAAGATCTCCAGGTTATGCATAGGCACATTAAATATTTAAAAGCACTAATAAAATATATTAAAATTACTTAGGTAAAATACCGATAATTTTATAGTTCTTGGTCAATAAATGTTTTCTTCCTTACTCAGAAAATGAATTAAGCCGTTTTCTATGTCAGAAAGCTACTTTTGTAGAAACACTATCATCAAAAATAATGATAATAAAAAAGTACAAACAAAAAACAAAAGTAGTACAAACCATGATCCCTGAACTAGATTGTATTATCTATTTAGGATGAAGGGCACTTACATAGAGTACTTCAATGTGAGGTGTTTATGTAAATAAAATTAAATTTCTGTTTGTGAATAATAACATCACAAAAAAAAAAATGACTGAGTGGTTGGTATGGCTGGAATGGTTTCACTTGAAACACAGGCAATTTGTCGTATATGAAATTCACTTTGGTAGTTTCTGGTTTAGGAAGGATCATACCCCAGAAAGTTAGATGGTTATCCTTGAGCTCAGTAGAAACTTGAGATACAATACAAGAGGACAACGTGACCACTGACTGAGAGAGACAAGCCACATATATCTGCTCTCTTGGACAGAAAAAAATAAAAAAAGTTTCTAGGATGAGTCCCAAACTGAAAGCTGTTAGCATAGATGTTCTAAATTGCAGAAATGAAGTTGAGCTATTCCTTACATAAACTAGTCTAGATGAGCATCAATAGCAGTATCTTCAGGTTTGTTTTTCATTTTTTTTTTTTTTAACGAAACAATACAGAGGCAGCTACATAGTTTAAGGTTATCAGAAATTTGGAAGAGCCAGAGTTGGGTCTAGATGGGGGCTAATTGACAAAAGAAGAGCTGCATTCCAACTTCTAGTCTATGAATTGATAAGCCTGTGTTTACCTTTTATAGACCTTTCAAAACTGTATGAAAGTAGATATTATTCTCCCTAGGGATTTATCTTTTAAAATGTGTGGTCCTCATATGTAAATTCTTCCAACTGATTATTTTCCTTAATTTTACCTGAGTAAAATATTTTTAATGTATTTTTTTTAAATTCAAGTACAAAAATAAGATCTACATGCAATATTTATGGCATATGCTAATGTCTTCTGGGAGTTGTTTCCCCCTCAAAAAAAAAAAACCTGCTAGTAATAACCAACTTTTTTTAACCATTTGTCTGCATCAATGCAGTGATTTCTATGAAGAATCTACAGTGATGCTGAGGTTCTTCTTCTTTGTCCTTATCTCCTGTTCAAATCTCATCATTGTCAGGTATGGCTTCAATTATTTTCTCTCAAATTGACATTGTATTTGTATCAAAGGAATCTGATTTGTTTTATTCCTGCTCAATCTTCCAGAGCTCTAAATAATTCCTCAAATTTAATCACATCAATTTGGCATCTCTCTGATGTTTTCATTCTGTACTTTCCCTTCTGGATCACTTGCAAAAAAATTAGTGTATTAGAATCACAATATATTTTTCTGTCAAGTAAAGACCTGATTAGCCTTACATTTGTTCCCAGTATCAGAGCTACTTCCATATATCATTAAAATGTTTATGATTATAGGAACTGAAGTTTCTATATTAAATACACCTCTTACCCATTTTTTTATTAATCCATTAAAGGATTTTAATATATTATTAGGTAAAGTGTTCCGTAGAAATCATTCAGCCTTTCCTCCATAACATGTTTCCTTAAGAATTATATGATACTAAGAACTGAAAGTGGTTTTGATATTCTATAAAGTTAAGATTTATTTATTTTTAATGGATGAACTGGTAGGCTGTGAAACATGTGTTTACCTTAGGAGAAGGGTCTCTTCATTCCTTCCCTTGCTACTCAATGGTTAACTTTACCACATTTAAGAGATTCATACTATTAAATAGAACTTAGAGACTCACTTAAAAAGTTCCTATATCTATGTGTGAAGAGTATTTTGCAATGTATATTTAAAAACTTAAAATGTGCAGTCTCGTTAAATAGAAATTCTACTTATAGAAATGCATTCTAATTAAATAATCAAACATATACATTGAAATTTAACTTATAAGGACTACAATATTTTTTAGTAAATAAATACTATGTAGTATATGACCAAAATGGAGATTCATTAATTATAATGCAGTTTTTAATAAAATTCTATGCAGTCACTAAAAATTACATTTCAGAACAATATTTAATGACATGAAAAGGGGTTTGAGGCATTTTATGTGAAAAAAAAAACAAGTTAAAAATATATGTGATACATTTTTGCTTTATACAGAAAGATATCTACCTACAATGAGAAATCTAAAATGCTATACACCAAAGTATTAGTCATCATTATTTCTGGTAGAAGAATTACAAGAGATTTCTAGTTTTAAAATTATTTTTTAAATAAATTATATTTCTAAAGATGGGAGAAAAGTGAAGCTGTATTAGAGTTGATTCAAACACTTTCCTCTCAAAATTTCTGTTCATCTCTCAAGCTTATTTCAATTAAAGGAAGTCTGTAAGTAACATGTAATAATATCCAATTAAGAATTATGAGTTGATTTTTAAAAAGTTTCTTTTCCCTTTTGCATATGGAAAAATAGGTGAATGTATTAAAATTGCTGAATTATCCTTACTCAGAATTTAGCTAGTCTGTCTTAATATGTATATGTATTTGTCCTACAGCCTTTATTTTATTCTATCTACTTTTGAGCCAAGTGGACAACCTATCTTTTGCCAACCCCATCAGTAATTTTATTTACTGCCTCAGCCTTTGAAACAAGTTAATGCAGAAGATTTAATGGTATTTTAGGATTTATTTCACAGAGAAAAGTGACTCAAGGTTTCATCTGCTATAATGTCCCCTTTGGTATTAAATATTTTAATGTGCTAAGTATGACAGATACAGAATGGCTAGTTTCCCAGTAAATGTGCTAGCCTCCTAGTAAATTACCCTCTCCCACTTTATATCATGCAGTTTATTAACCTATAAAGTCCCTTATCTTCCAATATAGATGGGGGATCTTAACTGAAGGCTTCATGTTGAACATATCCTAAAGCTTGGGAAGAACTTATTTCAGGGGAATGGGAAAGGATAACTAATCATTAATAGCAAACTTTAAGTTGCTAAGACTGCAAATATCACTTTGGTCCATTTTCTATTTCCATGATTTAGTCAAGATATAAAAAACCAAACCAGTGGAGCATTTTAATGAATGTAAACCAAGATTGCTTTTATAGAAAATATAAGAAAGACCTGTCTCATTTTTAGTAATATAGTCCAGGTTTGAATAAATATCTTGATTATTCTATGTATTAAACTTGTATGACCATGCCATGTGAGTGAATAAGCTACCGCCTCAGGAAAAATAAAGGTAGCACTCAATTTATATCTAAGGGATAATTGTGTTCTGTTTTGCTTTGCTTTTATCTTAAGTCCACAGTGATATGAAAAGCTACCCAAAAAAAGGCTTTGTAAAATATCACAAGCTGTTGTTAAATAATATTAAAAACTTTCTTGCATTTAACATAAAGAGAGAGTATATATTGTATATTTTTCATTATTTTAAATTTATCTAGAACCAAATAAAACAAGTGTTCTAATGCCCTTCTACTAGTTGGGAAAAAGATTTATGTAACAAGCCATTATCTTCTAGTTAGAAAACATAAAAGATGAGGACTGTTATTCCTATAATTAATCACACTATAGTGTAGAACTCTCCCTCAGTGACTTATTATAAAATAAATCTAGATATGATTCTTAAATGTGAAGAAAAATATTAAAGATGAATCAGTAGGATGTTTTATTTTCTTCTTTTAAGCTTTCATACAGTTAAATAAGACAAAATTAATAGTCTATAAAAAAGAATGTCAGGCCTTAAAAATATCATGACAAATACCCAAGTTGAGACAAAAGAATATTGACATAACTTACACAACCCTTATATCCTTATTTTTCCTTCTAATGTTACTGCGTAAGCATGCATTTCTAAACACTATAGCTTTGTTTCACTTGTTTCTGAAATTTGTGAAAAATGAAACTTTATTCCCGGCTCATTTTAGTCAATATTACACTTGTGAGATTTGTCCAGGTTGCTGTATGTTGCTATAAGTCACTAATTTTGTTGGTTTTTCCATCATATGAACACAACACAACTACTTATGCATTCTACTATCAAATATTTTGGTTGTATCTAGTTTTAAGATATTATGTTAATGCTGCTATTAACATTTTTTAACATATTTCCTCATTCCTATATGAATAATTTCTTCTGGGTATATGCATGAGAGTGAAATTGTTAGGTTATAGGGTATATGCACTTTCCACTTTAGGAGACAATGCCAAACATTTTTCTAAAATGTCCATTCCCATGTAGTCTCCCAGTAATATATGAATATTCTTGATATTCCACACTTTTACCACTTCTTGGTATTGTCAGTCTTTCAAATTACAGCCATTCTGATGAGAATATAGTTGTGGGTTTTTTGTTTATAAATCCCAGAGGATTTGGGTTTTATCTAAAGAGGTTTGGGTTTTATCTTTTGCAAATAGCACGTTTAAGTCACTTGGCCCATTTCCTTTTTCCTACTAGGTTCTTTTTTTGTATTTTTATATGTCTATATCTATAGATGTGTTTTTATATTCTATCTATATAATATAGTATCTATTAATTATAATTAGGTATATTATACGTTAAATACAATATATATCTTCTGGATGTATATTTGGAAAATATATTTTCCATGTGAAGGCTTATCTTTTCACTCTCTTACTGATGTATTTTGATAAACATAGGACTTTAGTTTTAGTGGACTACAATTAATAATATTTTCTGTCTTTAGTACTTTTTGTTTCCTACTAAAAATTTTTCATATTCCAAGCTTATAAAGGTATTTTTCTATATTATCTTCTAAAACCTTATGTTTGCCTCTCACATTTAAGTTACTAATCCACATGGAATTAGTTTTCATGTAGGGTATGATGTAGAACTCAAATTTCATTTTCTTTCATATGCATATAGCTGTCACAGTATCAATTACTGAAAATAACATGTTTTCCCCACCTTTTTTTTTTTGGTGTTGAGGTTCCAAAGATCATCCCCACTTATGTACTATTAAACTGTCATAATAAATATGTATTTCTGCATCTTTATTCTATTTGTTTATCCTTGATCCTGGACAACATGGTCTTAATGATTTTAGCTTTATATTAAGTCTTGATAAGTCTAATAATTCCTTCCATATTATACTTCGTTCTAGTAGATATAGATCAGATTTAACTGTGATAACAAACAATCCTAAATTGCAGTGGTCTATAAAAACAGAGTTTTTTGTTTTGTTTTTCTTACTCTCACTATATGTTTATTTTGAGTTGTCTGGAGAATTGTACTTAATCTCTCTTAATTCTAAGGCCCAGGTGGATTGAACAGGCATTGTCTTGCACATATTGCTACTCACCTTAGCAGAAAAAAGTAGAGTGAGAGTATAGTGAATTGTTCACTGGTTCTGAAATCTTTTACCCAGAAGTAACACATGTCACTTTCATACCTCATTGACAAAACAAATCACACGACCACTCATCACCTCAAGCAGGAGGAGACAAAATATTAGGTGGACAGCACTAATTTCCAAATGAACTTTCTCATTAGTTTGTGGTACTGCATTAAATTTATAGATCATCCTAAGCATAGTTGTCAGCTTTACAATATTTGGTTTTACAATCCATAAACATAAACATCGATTGAGACATACATATATCAACATAGTTTTGGGTTCTCATGTATTTTTATTTCAATTATGTTTTTTTGGTTTTCTGCATAAGGGTCTTACACAACTTTTTATTAGATAATTCCTGAGTATTTGATATCTTTTATGTTATTATATTTTATAAAATTTCATTTCTAAATTTTTTGCTAGTACATAGAATTGGAATTGATTTTTAAAAATATTGATCTTGAATCCAAAAACTGGCTCAGTTCTTACTTATAATAAATATTTGCATTGTATTTTCTATGTATTTAATTCTTTCCAATTCTTAACAGTGTTCTTTTTCTTTATTAGAACCTCAAGAACAATGTAAAGTGTGACTGTAGACATCTTTGCTTTATTTCCAATTTCAAAGGAAAAGCTTTCAAATATTGTTATTGCATCTGATGTTATATATATTTTTTCAGATATTTATCAGGTGCAGAAAATTTACATTGATTCCTAATTGGCTAAAATTCTGATTTCATCAGATTTTTTTCGACATCTATGATATAGGTATCTAAATGATCATGATATCTTTCTTTGTTTTAGTCAATGTGCTTAACTAAATCAATTAAAATCAATTCAACAATTTTTGAGTGTTAAAACAACTTTGCATTCCTGGAAAAATACATCTTTCTTATGATGGATTTTTTTAAATGTTTCTAGTTGGTCATAACATATTATCCTTTTTTCTATATTGGTGGATTTGATTTGCTAACATTTATTAAGGATTTTTTGCATTCATATTCACGAAGGATATTTGTAATTGTCTTGTTCTTATAATAGAAATGTTCTAGTATTAGGGTTATGTTGGCCTCAGAAAATGAGTTAAGCAATGATCCCTTCTTCATTTTTTTGAAAATCTTTTTATATGATTTTTGCTATTTCTTCCTTGAATATCTAATAGAATTGACCAATAAAACCAGCTAGATATGTTTATTTATTTATTTTGTTGCCTTAAAGTCTATTTTCTCTAACTGATACAGCTATGCCATATTTTATCTGCTTAATATTTGCATGATATATATATTATAATCCTTTTATTTTGAAAACTATTCTCTTGTTTTAAATATGGTTCAAAAAATAGCCAAAAATAGTCTGATAAACTTTTGGTATACAACTTATTACTTAATCTCATTTTTAAACTCATTTTAATCTATTTATATTTGTGAAATTAGTGGTATTACCATCTTAGTATATACTTTGTATTTAGTCTTCCAAATCTGCGTTTCTTTTCTCTCCTTTATTGCCTCCTTTTGGTTGATCATTGTTTACAATACTTTGTTTTGTACTGTAAGTTTGGAAATAAAGTATATATTTTTATTTTTAATGATTATCCTAGAAATGACAACATGCATTCTTCATTAACTTCTAATGATAAACAATACTTTTACTCTCCTCTTTGGACAATGAAAGAATCTTCAATCAATTCCATGTTTTGGCAATATGAATTATAGGCTATAATTGTGATATATTTTATTCAACTTATAATTTAAATTTGACAAGATATTATTTTATAGTGTAAATGCTCATTTACCTACCACCCATTTGTCTCTCTTCATTTTTCCTACTTATAGAATAATTTCTTTTCTGTTTGAAAACACTGTTTAGGATTTCCTTTTGTACTTGTCTCTGGTAGTAAATTTCCTTAGTTTTTTCCTGAAAATATTAACTTTATCATTCTTAAAAAAAAATGTTTCCTTGAAGTATAGAAATTTGGGATTATTTCCTTTCAACAGATTGAATATATTATTGAAATGTGTTTCTGCTTCCTATTGTTTTTAGTAATAAGTCAATTGTCTTTTTTCCCCTGGCTACATAAAGATTATTATTCCTTGATTTGGTTTTATACAGTATTTCAGTGATATATCCAAATGTAGATAAGTTTTAATTTATCCATCTTGAAACTTTTTAGACCTCCTGAATCTATTATCAGTTTTAGGTGATTCTTAGCTGTAATTTAAAAAATATTCCTTTTGCCTCATTCTCTTACTTCTCCCTTCAGAGATACCAATGGTAAATGCTAGACCTTCTCATTTTATTTTTAATAGCCTTGCTTTTTCTTTTGCACTTCAATCCTTTGTATCTTTGTGTTCTATATGGAGAGTATTTTTGTCATATTTCCAACCTAGTCATTTGTATACCTGTATATAATATGCTATTTAACCCACTTATTGAATTCTCAATTTTGGCTATTTTCTTTTTCCTTCTAGAATTTCTATTTTGTTCTTTTTAAAATTTGTAGTGCATCACTTTCCATGAATTACAGTTCCTATATTTAATCTTGGTTTTTTTCCCATTATACACAGTAAACATAGACCTCTTCCTTTCTTTCCTTTTTCCTTCCTTCTTTTCTCCCTCCTTCCTTTTTTTTTCAATCTCTGACTGATAATGTTAAAATCTGGGGTCCCCATGGCTCTACTTTTTGGCCTTTTATTTTCCCTGCTACTTCTTTTCCCTATAATTTTAGTATTATTGCATGCTTTGTTCTTTGATTATATGTGGGACATTATATAAGCAATGTTTGTAGAAATAATTTGAGATTTGCATTCTGTTCTTAGGATTTTCATGGTGTTCTGGGCATTATCGATACATGATTGTCTTAGTTCAATTTCAGGTATTAAAATTTTTTTGATCACTCAAATGACTTGAAAATGAGTTCAAGTCTGTGTAGTATGGTTTAATTTTGCTTCACTTTTATTCTTACATATAGTTCTTTCAGGTCCCAGCCCAAAAGAAGTGATGGTGATCCTCTCTGTGGCAGTATCTTACTTAGACTTGTTCCAAATTTTTGATGTGTTGTCAAAAGTTCTGTTCATCCTATAATCCTCTTAGCTGCCTCTTTCAGAACTACAAATATCGCTGGGTGAGGGTTGTCAAATTTAAAATATAAAAATACACAATGTTTTAGGTAAACATTAAATAAATTTTAGTGTGAGTATATTCCATGTAATATTTTGGACATACATATACTTAAAAAAATACTGTTTATGTAAAATTCATCCTGTATTTTATCTGGTAACCCTATCCCAGGTCAAAAGTGACCAAAACGACTAGACTCGCTCCTGAATTCTATTTTCATCTAGGTCTCATCCCAGTCCCTCTTCGCTACACTGTTAGCTCTCTGATGCTTTGAATGTGATATTTTAAGCAATATTTTGTCTAGTTATTTTAGGTTTCTTCATGAAAAGTTCAGTTCGAATTTCTAGTTTACTGTCAACATAATCAGAAAGCTAATATTCCATTTTCAAGGTGTATTTAACATCAAATATACCAAAAGTTACTTCTAGAAGCCTTCAGATAACTTCTTGACATTGGCCTTGGCAATAGTTTTTTTTTGATATGACAGCAAAAGCTTAGAAAACAAAAGCAAAAATAAGACAAGTTGAATTACATCAAACTGAATAGTTTCTGCATAGCAAAACAAAACAAATGTCAAAATGAAAAGGCAACCTACAAAAGGGGAGAAAAATATTTACAAACCATACATATGATAACGGGCTAATATCCAAACTCTATAAGGAACTCACACTACTCAACAGCAAAAGTAAAATAAAAAAGAACAAAATCAAATAAATCAAATAATAATGGGGCAAAGGACTTGAATAAATATTATTCCAACGAAGACATAAAAATGGCCAACAGGCATATGAAAATGTGCTCAACATCACTAATCACCAGGGAAGTGCAAATCAAAACCACAGTGAAGTAACACACATATGCTAAAATTGCTATTATCAAAAAGATAAGAGATAAGAAGTGTTGGCCAGGGTGTGGAGAAAAGGAAACCCCTGCACATTGTTGGTAAGAATGTAAATTGGTACAACCATTATAGAAAACTGTATGTAGGCTCCTCAAAAAACTAAAAATAGAACTACCTATGATCCAGCAGTCCTACTTTTGAATGTATACCCAAAGGAATTGAAATCAGTTATCTTGAAGAAATATTTGCACACCTATGTGCACTACAACATTATCCATAATAGTCAAGATATTTAAACAACTTAAGTGTCTGTCAACTAATGAATAAAGAAATTGTGGCATGTATTGATGTAGATAGATAGATAGGTAGAGGAGATTCTGCCCTTTGCAATATGTATGAAGTTGGAGGGCATTATGCTAAGTGAATTAAGTCAGATACAGAAAGAAAAATAACACATGATCCACTTATATGTGGAATCTAAAAAAAGTTGAATACATGGAAGCCCGAGAGTAGAAAAGTAGTTACCAGGGGCAGAGAAGTGAGGGAAATGGAAAGATGTTGGTCAAAGGGTACAAAGTTTCAGTTGGTTATGCAAGATGAATAAGTTTAGAGATCTAAAGGTTGGCATGATGACTATAACTGATAATGCTGTATTTTATACTGGAAATTTAGTAAGAGAATAGATTTCAGTTTTTCTCAGCACAAGAAACAATGGTAACTATCTAAAGAAATGGATATGTTAACTTGCTTGACTAAAGTAATCATTAAATATATGTATATCAAAATATCATGTTGTACACCTTAAATATATACAATTTTATTTAAAAAAATGAAGTATTAAATTAAAAAAACAATACTTTGCAATTATTTTGCCATATTTATAGTTATGCCTTTTATGCCAACTACTTATTAATTTTTACTTTTACGGCTTGCTTAATGCAGAACTAAGTTTCTAAAAGAACACACATTTTCTTCTAAAAGAATACACATTTTCTATTTTTCATTGGATTAAATAATGTGTTTACCATGTGTACCTATTGGGGGAAGGATACGTATGCTACAAAACAACAGAAAACAATAGACATTATTATTTCGAGCAGATCAATTTTCTACAACTTCTCTGAGATCCAGAAGCACCACAAACAGGGTCCAATAGAGTTGATGACTTAGTGAATAAATGGATTACTATGAATAAATGATAATTGTCTTCCTTCCAGGCATCATTAACAAAGGTGAAGATACTGGTATCGTGATTAGCTATTCCAGATATGATCTGATATGATGAAGACACAAAAATTGCCATATACCATGCTCAATCTCTGGTCATCAAACACATTGTGGATCTATGAAGCGTACTTCATTGAGGGTTTGTTAAAATGATGATAAAGACAGAGAATGAGTAGATTTTATCATTTCCAAGGGAATTTTCTGCAACAATGGAGTTTTCATTTTTCTCAACAAGCCATCTGATTGATAACAACGTCTAAGTGAAGTAATAGACAAGCCTTAGTAATTTGTGGCTACTCACATATAAAAGTGTACTCCCACAAATGGAGTTCCTATATTTATCTCCTCACTTGGCTTTCAAAATTGTTGAGCTACTCCTTTTTCTAATTATGAATGAAATATTCTTACACTTTTTTTTATAAAACACTAAGCTTTAGAATATCCTAATTACCTTGTTATGATTAAAATACTTTTTACATTACTTTTCTCTTCTTACCAATTCTGAGTTGATTTTATATGATTCATTTATTCCTGGTGATTAAAATCCTATAGAAATAGCCATGAGCTATTACAATTGGCTAGTAGTTGAGTTTGTTCAAGTTATTTCCAGCATATACATTAAAAATTAAATTATTTTAACCTTCAAGGCCAATTATACGTCTTACCCTTGAGAATGACATTGTCAATGACACTGAAAACTGCCAGAGAACTGTGAATAAAAGATGTAAAATGAGGAAATAAGCACTGGGGAACCCTGGGATATGGATAAGCAAATGCCATCATTTGGATAAGGCTGGAGGCACATTTGGCCAGAGCACTAGGTTTCTGGCCTTGACCTCCCAGGTCCTGCTGTCAGACATGAAGCCTTCAGTTATGCTTGTAGCAGCCATCTCTCTGGCTGCCAACTCCAATCCTTTACAAAAAGCCAAAGCACTTCCACTTTTCTATAAGAATAATGGTTTTAATTTAACTGTCTTTCTTTCCTGCTCTTGCCAGGATTTTTGTTCATATTATAATTTTATGTAGGGGAAAGGGAAAAACTGCTTTACTATTTAAAGAGGTATATTAGATATTGGAAATCTTTGATATTTTTCCAAGATTCACTGATGGCCTACAGAATTCTAGGTGAAAAATTTAACCTTATGATAATAATTAAGTATCATATATTACATAAATTTCTACATGGAAATAAAGGCTAAAATGCCCTTATCTTGTTGCTAGTTTCTACTTATTTTTCACATACACAAACACACACACACACACACACACACACACACACACGGAGGTGGATGTGCATGAGCGTGTGTATGTACTGTGATTCATGTTGCTATTTCATTATCAGATTAATATAGATAAATATTAAATATTTAAAATATCTGACAAGTTCATCAATATTTATGGCAAACCTGACAGCAAGAGTGTGGAAAGAAATTTAAACTGTTAGGAAATTTACTGGTATGACTGCAACCTTTTTGAGAGTAGAGAAAATATCCAATTTTACATCCACAGTTTTAATTAATACCTATTCAAATCTCACTAAAACAGTTTTACCTCATTCTTTCCTCTGAGCTGTAGTTCCATATCTAAATGACTCCTTGTATTTCATCCTAAATTTTAGAAAAGTCACTCAAAACCAACATGGTCTTCATCCTTCACATCTGTTTTTCTTCCTGTGTTCCATACATCAGTAACTGGCACCATCATCTATTCATTCATACAAGCCCTAAAGACTGATAGAAGCAGGAGTTTAAAAATCTGTATATTTAGCCTGACATGTCCTTTGGCAGGCCATTTAACTTTGGCTTCTCCTTATGCCCAATTCTGTTTCTTTCCCATTTCTCATTTCCCATTCCTTCCTCCAGGTATTAATCCCAAGGCATTCCCTCATAAATATCCTACACTCTAATTATAGCAGCTCAGATTCTGTTTCCCAGAGAACTTAGTCTACAATGCTCATTTTCTTTCAGTTTCTTGTGCCATGATGGACCCCATCTCAGATCTAAGGACAGACATTTATACATGCTCATCTCTCTGTATGAAATGTTCTTTCCTCATCTATCACCAGGCTAACAGCTATTCATTCTTTAGAGCACAACTGAAACCACCAATTCTTCGACAACCTTCTTCTACCCTCCTAACTAAATTAGCATTTCCCCCCACCCCCTTGCCATTTTTTAAGCTTTTATTACACCATGTAGTACTTCAGGTTAAGTGTTTCTCTTATGCAATTTTACTTTCATTGACATTTGATCAAAGTCTGTGTCCACTTCTACATCATAATCTATTTGTGTTCACCATTACATCCTAGTGCCTAATCTACTGCTTGATACACAGCAGGCACAAAATAAAGACTTGCAGGAAGAAAGGAGAGAGGAAGGGGTTTTATGATTCACACAAACAATTCTCAGAAATGTTGGTTGAAGGAAAAAGCCATAATGTGTTTTTCATCTTTGGTAAAAGTTTAAACTCAATAGTGAGCATTATTCCCTGGTATTTTTTACTAGGTAGATCATAGTGAAAGCTCCTTGTGTTCTATCTTCTAAGCAAAACATGGTGGGAGGATTTGAGGTTTTGGAGTCAGATTATTCTGATTTTAAATTTTGAGATGGAAGCTTGGGCAAATTTCCTAATTTTTTAAGCTGTAGTTTTCTTATCTGTAAATAATCTGCCTCATAGCGCCGTTATCATAATTGAATTGCCTAAAAAGCACTCGACACATAATAGATGTACAATAAACACTTTAGTAACTATTATGCTGATACCAAAACTAAAAAAGATAGGACAATTGTCTCTGTCTTTGCAATGCATGGCTATTACAGAAAGTGTCGCAGCACGTGTTATCGGGAGCACACGGCTATACCATTACTATAGTAGCATCATGACTTTTTTACACTTTTATTCTTTTGGAATCTCTAGCTTCACATCCTAAGCTATTTGTAAAGCTAAACTTTATATCATGTCATACATAAATGCATTATTTCGAGAACTGTTCTCAGTCATGATCTATAATGGGATGTGGTATGAACTGTGTCCCCCCCAAAATTGTTGAAACCTAATCCCTAACATTATGGTATTTGGAGGTGGGGTCTTTGAAAGTCAATAAGGCATGAGGGCAGAGCTCCTCATGAATGTGATTAGTGCCCTTATAAGAAGAGAAATGGGAGAGATTGCCTTCTATCTCTCTCTCCTGCTAGCTTTCGCTCTTTCTCTCTGTTCTCCGCCCTGTCGGGACACACCAAAAGACAGACATCTGCAAACCAGGAAGTGGGCCTTTTCCAGACAGACACTGAATCAACTAACACCTTGATCTTGGACTTTCCAGCCTGTAGAACTGTGAGAAATAAACCAGTCTGTTACAGCAGCCCAAATTGATGGGATAATTCTTTAACAACAACAAAAAAAAAGATCTTTAAACTTAGGAAGGAAAAAAAAAATGCCATAGACACACTGTTATAAATGAAACATTAACAAGTTGTGAAACAAATAGTTTTACAGGATTTTTATCTAAAGCTAAGGGGGATAAAATCCAGAAATCTATCAATGTGCTTCTTCATTTTTTGATACCTTCTGTTCCTTTAACATACAACATGTGAATAGATTAAGGCGGCAAGATAATTGGCCACACATACTAGGAAAACTATATTAGTGGATTTATATTATATCTAGCAATCAGTATTAAATACATACAATGTGCTGGGCACTGTACTTAATGCCTTACATATATTGTCTTAATTAATGCTCACAATAAAGACCTACCTTTAGAGTGTGTGTGTGTATATATATATATATATATATATATACATATATATATTACATTTTACTCAGATTAATAAACTTGCATAACATCACTTGGCTACCACACATTAGAAGCAAGTTTCGACACAGAGTTTCTTAATCAAAAGCCCATTTTTTAAAAAGTCCCTTCTACAAAACCTCACCAATGTAATATAACTTGTGGTAGAAGAAAGAAATGTCTCTCTGTCCTAGCAAAGATTTGATGGCAAATCAGACTAGATTTTCATAATGCCTTTTATTATTGGATAAAAATTGTAACACAAGACTGTAGTCACTTCTGTCTTCTTAGGGGTATGAAATGCATCTTAATAACAGGAGGAAAATGTTATGTAAAGCTTCCTTCTATATAAAGTGACTGGATGGGAAGGGTTTAACCAGGGACAAAAAGGAGAAGCAGAGTTTGCAAAGGTAGGATCACAGCTGTGTGATACTCAGAATCACAAGGGAGAAGAATAAAGGAGGAATCTGATGAGAGGAGACTTCCAAAACAGGAATCAAGAAGATTGTTGACCTAGATAAATGGACTAAAGAAACAAACAGAAGTGCTAAAGAACTTTGAAAACTTCACCCAAAAGAAACTTTTGAGAAATTTTCAGTGCTAGGGTTGCTGTAGGATTTATGAGAATAGGAATTTTTCATGTCCAATTTTTAGTTGTTTGCATGATCCTACATTTTACACTGTCCTGTATACTTTGCTTTGTTCTGTACTGTCTAAAAACTTTAGTCAAATTGTGTATATTCCTCAAGAGGATGGTTTGGGGGTGGGAGATCAAAGTCAAAGGATTTAGTATCTCATTTGGGATGGCTCAGAGCAGAGGAAAAGAAACAGAGGTGAGAGATAAGGGCAATCAGTAGCTCAATGAATAGTCACAAATTACCATGAAGACAAAGTCTGGAGTTTTCTAACAATTTATACATATACACAAATACATAGTAGTGAAGACACAGGACATTGTGCATCTTACAGAATGTTGGTTTTGGAAACAAAGCAGGTCAATTTTATTGAACTCTCATTGTCCCAGAACATTGGATAAAAGCTTGGCTTTACTTTCATAAATAAAGTGATTCATATATTGCTTTTAGACACAGAATTTAATCCTTACTATAATCATAAATGTAAACATTATTGTCCTCATTTCAAAAAGAGGAAATTGACCTCAGAAAGTACGAGCAACTGGCTGAGGTTCATACACCTAAGCAGAATGCACAGCTGGGGTTTCTAACTCCCAATCCAGTGCTACTTTGCCAGTACCACATGTTCATCTCCTTTAAGTAATGCTAAGTCCTTCTCTATCCTTTACTCTTCTGAAAATCTATAACACAATCATTTGGATAGCTATCAAAAGCATGACAAATTTTACTACACTCAATTACTTAACAATATTTAAGACCACATTAAATAATGTCAGGTTGATAAAAGCCCTGCCTAGTGGTTGGAACATTCAAGATACTCTGTCTTATTTGTGTGGTTGTCATTGGATTATGCTAATATGTACTGAACAGATATTATTTTAGGGTATCTCTTTTAGTTTATGGATTGTAAAATATTCTGACAATTATATTTATTGTTTTATAAAAAATACTTTATGTATATAAAATTTTTTCTTTTCCTAAGACATTAAAAGTATTTCACTGAAAATATCTTTACACTATTTGCTCAATAAACTGATCTTTTATACTCAATTACACTTCAGTCTAGCTCCAATATAGTATAATTCCTATTAGTGAGGATTTTTACTGCATTTCACAAAAATTAAAATAATTATTCTTATAAATATGGAATATGAGCTTGACCTATATACAGATGTTTTAAGGGAAGATGGCTCCATGAATACATCATCACTTGCTATTGCTTTTTATATGTGCAGAACTGTCATTGCCATGGAGTACACCAGGTGATCTTAAAGCACTCATTCTTCTAGGATTCTATAGATCGAAGTATCTTTATAATTGCAAAGTTCATAACCATATTAAATAATACATTATAGAATAACTACCACTTTTCTTCTTCCAAACCTCTATCATTAATAAACATCCCAGCTCTCCACATGCCATAAATGCATTAGGTACCACAGCTGTTTCAGACTATAGCACAGTTTAACAAACACAGAGGAACAAATCAAATTAAATAACCACATCTCCT